AGATCAGACCACCGATCCACATCTAAACAAGAAATATATTTTTAACAAATTTCAAAAACTCAATGAAATAATACCTCTCCTTCACCGATGAGATCAATTTTTCTAAATATTTTCTTGACATTATCTTGCATTGAGTGATGCTGAGGATAAAATGCTTCGGAAATTGTCAGAAAAAGTGCTACAAATAAGCCAATTACCATGACGAGAGCCACCCAAACAAGGGGTGAGACGAGCAAACAATGCACTGAGTTCACGTTGAATGCGAACATATTTTGCATAAGTATATCATCAAAAACCGTGTTTTCAGGTGATTCAGGATATTCTTGAATTTGTTCAATGGATTCAAAGGCGGAATATAAAACTTCACCAACTGCTCCATATGGACAAAATGAGTCTTCTGAACAATTCATTGATGATGATGAATAAGGAGAACACAATTCAATTCCAGAATAAGTTCGATTTGTACCACGATTACAAGGAATAGAACTGGTTGCATATACATCTATGTTTGTATTTGGATAGTAACCTGGAGGTGCGACAAGGATACCAACACCATTGCTCAAACTATCTAAAATACCCAAATTACCAGAAGATGAACAACTGAGACGAATTAAAGATTCAGCCATCATTTGTAAAAGAACTTGTTGACTATTTGGATAGACAAAAATCGGTTGTGTTGAATCAGAGAATCCATCAGATTGAATATTATAGACATGCACTGCTGATGAAACCCATTCATAAGTTGAATACGTATAAGTATTGGCCAGAATCACTGCTTTCTCACCTGTGTCATCTAGCCATGCAACACTTTTCCCAAAGCCCATGTATCCCACTCCGTTCTGACGAGTACTAATTGGATTGTGAGTATCATTTAACGAATACAATAAAACTGTATTCAATGATTGAATACCAATAAGTACCTGTTGAGTATTCCAACAAATACTCACTGACATGACTGACTGTGCTGTATAAGTCTGGCTGTTGGCCATGTAACGAATGATACGCGGATCACTCCATGAATAGTGCAAGACATCTGCAATATTAAATTTGCTTATACTGTACGGAGACGATAAGGATGTATTTAATCGAATATAAAAACCACATTCGACAGCTGATGTTGGTGTTGATTGACAATATCCAGCTACAATAGCATAATCTTGATTTGAACCAATATGCATTCCTCGAGGAGAAATACCGATTGTATTTGGCCAAACAAACAATTCAAATGTTGGATATAATTGATAAAAACATACAAAATTATCAGCAATACTATATACACCCATACCTTGTCCATCAATAGCAATGAGAAAATTATCTTGTGTTGAATAGTTAGATACAATTTGTTCATCGTTCAAATGAAATGATGCACAAGTACCATTGCTAGTGAAAACACCAATAACATTATTTCCTTGAATATCAATACAATTGTAGACAAACGAAATATTGTTTGTACGTGGAACAACAACACTGTAAACAAAATCACATGTTGTCAAATTATATGGAATTTGACAACTGGAACTGTTACTGTGTGGAAATGGTTCGATGTACCATACTAAGAACAAATTGTCAACACAAACTAAAAATCGATCATTTATGCCAATTTTAATTCCATAAAGATCATAATCATAAGGTACTTTTGTGTACGTTAATACAGTATGGATGAAAAGGAAATAGAGACAAATTCTGATAGACGACATGGCAACCAACCGAGAAGTTGTAATGTTTTCTAATGCCAGTTGAATACGTTGTAAAGAAAGAAAAAAAGGAAGTGTTTTAACGATGACGTTAATGTGAATTTCATTTCTAAATTGCAATATAATAATGAATATCAGATATATTCTGTCACTCTTCTTTTCTCTTTTCTGAATGCATCTAAAAGAATTTAGTGAAATGTCACTCAACGAGGAAGTAATATTTGAAGAACATATTCTTGATTAAAAACACTCGCATTTATTAGAAAAATATAATTATCGAAGAAATGAATGAAATGCAGAATAAATGTAATTAAAATCTTGTTTTTTTTCTTCTATTACTTGTCATTAACAACAACTTCACTTCAATAATAAATTCATGAATCTATTCCAAATGTCTATATACTTTAGGGTCCTGCGAGAACGATTTGTTTTCATTCCCGTTTCCCGTTCCCGTTCCCGTGAAAATATTTTTGTTACCGTTCCCGTAGTCCCGTTCCCGTAAGCAATAATGAAAAAATAACATCTTTGTACACTAGCTTCTTGCGACACCTTACAGTGTTCAGTAAAGTAAATATGATATGAAAGTAAAGCTAAACTTATGACTGGAACGTCGATTGGCTAAAAATTCTCTATATGAAAGCTAATTGTGCAGACATATATAAATGTATAGGAATCAAGATAAGATAATTTACGGGAACATGAACTTTTGATATCGTTCCCGCAGGACGCTAATATACTTACTAATAGAACTCATGTATAAAGATCTACTGTATGAAATCATAAAAATAACAATAGTAAAATCATGAGATTTAATTCAATATCAAAGTCAATTTATTATTGATGATAAGTAATATTTTTTCTACATTTCATTTATTTATTAGATATTGAATCAGATCCGAATAACAAATAAAAATAATTTTTTATTATATATGAGTGAGTTACAAAATCATTGTATGATTGATGAAAAAAATGAAAGCGAGTTTGGAGAGAATCTGTATCACAGATATTATTCTCCGTCGTTTCTTGAGTATTCGAATCCAAAAGTCCGAATTTTGATGTATAAAGTTTAGTGTAAAAGGATTTTTTGGAATTAAAACAAAGGCATAAATATTGTACATGCATCGATAACTCTCGATTAGATCTATATTTCTCACCATCATATTCTTCTTATTTCTTTGATGTAAGAGCCTTTATACGTAGAATCGACGTAAAAAGTCGGTTCAATATATAAGTACATTTTCGTGCCTGGGCATCGAGCTATTGAAGGATTTTATTTTATTTATCGCTAAATCTAATCCAACATAATCTAAGGAGTCGAATAACACGTAAGAAGCCTATTTGAGGGTGTGGGTGTGAGCTAAGAGGAGAAACATAATCATACCCTTTCTACGTATGTTTATTTTATAAGAAAAACTTGTGTGAAACATTGGTGCATAGTCATATAATGTTAGTTAATTAAAAGATGTCAGTTTCTGCAAAAATTTTTTTACAAATATTTTACGTTTGTATTCTTCATCCTGCCAGCCATAAATTTCAAGGATATCATTGGTATTGTTCGCCACTTTTTTTCGAAGATAAATTAAATTATCCTGTACAGCAATATCAGTGACATTTGATAATAGAGCAATATTTTGATCGTATCGTTTCCCATCGTTACCAAGTACATAACAGCAGTTTTTATTTTTTTCGCAAAAAAAGAATAACCAACCGTCGTCATTCGGGAAAGAAATTAGTCGCATTTTGTCAGGTGAGTTATTATAATCTGTTTTTATACAGTGAAGAGTTGACATACCATGGCTTCTTAGTTGAAAAGAAAATGTCTGTGACTCATAACCATATAATTTAATCACAAGTGCGTAATATAGATCATTCATTCGAATACATTTAATTTCGTCACGTGACTTACATGAAATCGGTGGAGACCAACTAGTAGAATATCCTTCAGTGTGCCAATCGCTCTTATTTGCTGACCACTTTTCAATTTTGTTATCGACAACGATTAAAACATGCTGTTCAAAGCATGTTAGCGTTTTAAGATTGCGAAATGAAGCAGATATCGAATTGGCTGATTTCGCCCAAATCTCTTTGGCCCTTCCGGAGTATGGATTTGATTGGTATAGTTTATATGGGCTATTACTGTGATCACCATATTTTAATACTAAAAATTGTCCTAAAGAATTGCACCAATGTAATTCAATAACGCTGTCGATCCCATGCAGGCTTGTCCATGATTTGCTAACTGTATTTAAAGTAGGCAACTCACCTTCATAAGAAAAGGCAAGCAATTCATCACTAATTGGGTGCATTTGACCAAGTGCTTCTGGTGAAAGATCAATGGATACTTTTGGTTTCTGTGATGTAAGTAGAAGATCAACAAAGTAACAAGGGGCAGCAGTATGAGACACTGACTGAGTGAGTGGTTTGGGGGCAATAGTATGAGACACTGCCTGCGTGAGTGGTTTGACAACGATCAATTCATGTGAAATTTCTTTGATTATGAGTTCAATGGAGAAATGTTCTATGTCATGTTGCAGTTGCTGGAGTTTATTGATTAATTGATTAATATCATTTTCGAAATAATTTTCATTTTCTCGCAGTTCATCTATTTCACTTGATAACATCGCGAATTGCTTATGTAGTTTGTCACCTTCCTTTAGAGCGATTTCCTGCAAACGTTGGCGTGCACATGCAGCTGATTGTTTAATTAGTTGGGTTGTATCTATTTCCCATTTATTGATCATCTCCATCTGTACTTTGATATTATCAGACCACTGTTGCTCATTGCAAGTTGAAATTTTCTCTTGCAATACATTTCTTTCGTTCAGAACTGTATTGTCAAGTAAACTAGTTAAATCCTGTCGATGTTGTACAATATGTTGAAAACAGAAGTATTTCTGACAGCCTGCGCATAATAAAATACCTGGTTTTGGCTTTACTTCGGAGCTAAGTGTCTCACACGTAGCACAAAGAATAGATGGAGAAGCACAAGCCATTATTTTTCTTGAGAAAAATATGTGTTTTTTTGATGCGATTTTATTTGTTTTTGAATAAAATGTGAGTAGAAGTGCACGAACAGAGAAAAAAAATACATCATTTTTCTCTCGAAGATGAAAAAAAAGAATTCATTATGAAATAACATTCGATTCTTATAGCATTTCTATGACAATGACTGGTTACTTTTTTTGTAGCTCACAATGTTTATTGTTACATTCTGAAATGCTTACGAAGTATATCGTAAAGCATTCACAGCTCGTTTATACTAAATAAGTGAAGACATAAACGCTGAGGCTTACATTACAAGAAGCTGGGTGTGGGTGTAGACATAGACGAGCGAAGAATGCAATATCCACACCCACCCTATTCTTTTTTCCTTTTGTAAATATGTTTCTATGTTGATTTTGTCATCCTAAGAGTAAAGATGATGGTATAGTATTTATATCATATTCCTATTCACACCTTTACAAGAAATAGAAATTGAGTTCGTCCACATAATGTCGTTATTTGAAACTTTTTAGAAAATCCAGTGTCTTTATTTTGTTAATGATGATATTAATGAAAAAGCGAAAAAGAAAATGTTTTTTATTGTTAGATTAAATAATTACAAGTGTATAGTAATACAGAAAAAGAGATTGAAATTTACAGTTATTATTGTTCTTTCGATTGATTCGTATTGCTGACATCAGATGAATTATCAGTCCATGCCTACAAAAAGAAGAGTTTCTATTTTAAAAATATCTTATCGCATGAATACTTACAATGAGATTGTCTCGAAGTGACTGCATGATTATAATGCTGTCTAAAAACGAATCGGAAAAATATTAGTTTTACTATTAATTTTCCTCTTACCTCTATAAGAATCATCTTCAAGAGAATCTGATCCGGTCAAAGCCTCGTCGAGGGCCTATTATATAAATATTCAAACGTGTAAAGAAATGAAATAGATCAGCTCGAGCAAACCTGTATGGCTATACGACAAGCAGCATCTGTATTATTGAGAATTTCGTAGAAAAAAACGGAAAAACTCAGAGCAAGACCAAGTCGAATTGGATGTGTTACTGACATTTGATTTTTGGCCATATCAAAGGCATTCTTATAAGCATGTCCTGATTCTCCAGCGAATTCTAGAATTAATATCAATGTACGTATTTATGTTCGAGTAGAACATTTTCTATACTACTTTGTCGTTCGCTACCAGTGGTGACTTCAGTCAAATATCGATAATAATCACCTTTCGTCTTTAAATAGACTATCTTCGATTCAGTAGCTGTTGCTTTGGGTAAGAGATATTTATCAAGTAACATCTAAATTGATAAATTTTTATTTCTAAAACGATCCTTAATTGAATAAGCCCTACACAAAGTTCTTGACATATATCTTCCAATTCATTTTCGATCTTTTCTCGATACTCCTTAGTCATTTCTCGTTGACGTTCGATGCCGCTGCCTTTCTGTTCAATGATTGATATAATTCGCCAAGATAATCGACAAGCACTAACTGTATGTTTGTAGGCAATTAAGAGCAAATCGCGTTCTTCAGTCGTCAATTCATCATTGAATTTAACAACCTTTTTCATAGCAATTACCATATCAGTATATCTAAATCAACACTTACATTACAAGATTAACTATATTTACTTTAAGAACCAATACTGTACCGCTCAGCTTGTTCAGCTAATTTTGCTAGTTGTACTTGTTCATCCTTGTTTGTCATTATTCTATATAGTTTATCGTGATTGGTTGTTCAGTGAAGACTTACCTTAGCAATACAGATGTGTTAATACTAGTTAAAAGAGGTGCTCGAGTATGTATACATTACTTCCTAGATACTTCCTCCCTTTTTGAGTTATAACTTTATAACGCATATTTGGATATGACGTCATACAATATCCAATAAGGAAACGTGTGTTAAGTATTGTACAAAAGAAAAACGATTGCTTGATTAGTCATCCATATCTACAGAACGAACATCGGACGGAGCGCAAAGTATATTGTGCGATGCAACGTCATTACTTAGTAACTGACTACGATAGATTTTATTTTAATATATAACGAAAGAGGGCGACAGTGTAACATGCTTTTGTGATGGAATATTGTTATCATATAATAATTCGACATGATTGAATATACTATTTCAGAAAGATAACTATCATAAAAAATTCGCTCTTCTTAATATGAATCATCCATGATACATATAAGTCAAACCTAATATTCATACTGGCTAGAAGTAATCGAACGGATATAAATAATAAGTATCTATTTACGCGTTAAGTAATTTTAAATGGAAACTATGTAAAAAATTTCAATTTTTCTAGGTAATTTATTGAACACAAGTTTAAGTAAGGGTATGAGGGTAGATAAATGTAATGAACAAATTCCTCTTGATCATCAGTTTAAATGAAATGTGATCAAAGCAGAAGCTAAATTATTCACTATTGAATTATGAGCTGGTATAACGATATCTATAATTCGAGAGGAACGTGAAAATGTATTCATAGATAAACGATGAACTGTGCATTTAGTGCGAATTAATGTATTAACAGAACAGTCAATCTTAATTCCTGTATTATCAAATGAATAGATGGTTCAATACACATGCAGTTTCGAGTTGATAATATTAATTCAATGAAATCTAAAATGTATGATTATAATATTAATACAATTATTTCGAATTATCAGTTATGTATAAAACTATAGATAGTGGATAATTTCTAATTTTTATTGGGAGAAGTCAATAGATGTGACTTCCCCATAGCTTCACTCGAAATCGGTTTATTCGCTCTTGGTTTTGGACTATGTATGAGATTTATTTGAATAAAGAATTTATGGCTTATCATCAAATTTCTTATCTCGTTTTTCTATTAAGACGATGTGTAATAGCTTATTTCTTAATCCGGATAAATAAAATGTCTCTGCTTTGTCAATAAATTTATCAGAAATTTTATTAATTTATTAACGTTATCATTTATATCTAACATTCTTAATATAATCTTAAAAAGTCTTGAGTGGAAATATTCTGAAAAATAAAGCATAGGAGAAGTGTTTCTTTACTTTCTTAAATATTTATTCTGCTTTGCGATAAGAATTTCATCGAAAAATACATGTAAATTATAAATGTATAAATAGGTAGGGATATGAGTATTAGTCGATCATGATAATCATTACAATGAAGAATACAATTCGAATGTATTGTTACTTTCTATTTATGTTTTTAATTTTAAAATGTAACGGAAAGCCAATTTTACCAATGAATGCAATTCAAATTCCTTCAACTCGAATGTATAATAATTTTATTCGATCTGAAAGATATTATGTTAAACAGCAACTCCCAAACACCTTTGCGATTCAAGGTCCATCTGAAACTTTTGTTAAAGTACCTGGTCTAACACTGCCTTTCAATCATATAGAACCATTAGTATATAAAATTAAATTTGAAGGAAGATGTGTTTCACATCATTTTAACGAAACTTGGTTCCATTTACGTTTTATGATTAATGATAATTTGCTTTATATAGATAAATTTCTACCAAATACAGCTAATCGGTATCAGTATATTACCGGATATAGCAACAATGATGGTCTTGATTATGTTGGTGGTTTTTATTGGTACAATAATTCACCGGCACTGATGCAATGTTCATTTAGTGATATTATCTATTTAAATCCTGGTTTACATGTTATTGATGTAGCTGTTCGAGGTGGACATGCTTATGGTGCTTTTCCAACCTACATTGTTGGTGGAGCTTTGACAATTGAATTAGTTGAATATGATTTGCACGCAGATACTGGTATAAAACCGAGCGATACTAATTTAACACCGAATTCTATCGGATAATTCATTCGAAAACTAATTAATAAAATTTTGTTTTTTTATTACTCACGAAATATTAATTATTATTTTCAAATAAATAAAGAAGGATTATTAATATGACTCTCAAATTGCTAAAAAGATTGATTTAAATTTACTATGTAGTTCTGAAGATATGAATGATGAATTAAATACTAACACCCTGAATCTCACACCGTCCTTGATACTCTTGAATGAATGAAAGAAGTTTTTCATATAACCAGTTAATCGACTGTATTGCACCAAGGTCGACCATTCGTTGACTAGTGTTTACCACAATTATGATTTAATTGATCAAGATTGATTATAGACACAACAAGATATTTTGAGTCGATGGAGAAAAGATGACTGCTGTCATATATAAGTTAAATACAGTTACATTCTTATCTGTCAGTAATGGAAATAAATTCTTAGTATCGAACATACATATGAATGATAGTATGAAAAAAAGATATGTTCAACAAAGCACACAATGTGAGAAGAGTAAATGTATTTGCTAAATAATCTTCATCGGGGTCTGACATATCTACAGATAAATTTAATTGACTGAATAAAAATGATTCATTGGAAGAAAGAAGGAAAGTCTTTTCGTAAACGGTTGATCATAAGCGTCTCAATAGAAGATCGCATCATGTGGATGTGGGTGTGTATGTGTCTGTGAGCTAAAAGAAGAGATGCATCTGCCTTAACCCACACCCACACCATACTCTCACTCATACCCATACCCATACCCACACCCACACCCTCAAGATGCATTCATTGTTGGAAAAGAAAAGTAAAAAAGTCTATTAGTCTTTAATTAATCGGTGAGTATTCAGAGAGATTTTTTTCTCTCCTATCTCCATCAATCTGCTACTGTCAGATCAATATGTGAAACGTGAAAATAAGTTTTCGAAAAGCTAAAATAATTAACTCATTTTCTCCTTTTTTTCGAAAATGATTGATAGAAATTTATAAAATAGTCAATAGCATTGTCATAACTTTTATTTAATTATAAGTAATATAATTTTAATTTAAAAAAAAAGAATTCTTACATAAGTAATTCTTTTTTATTCGAGAATAAAAATATCTTCGTTTTAAAAATTAAATTTAAATAAAAACTTTTCATTTAAATCATTAATTGTCAATACTTTTTTTTGCGGTTTTTCTAAAATTAATGCTGTTTTCGAATCAGGATCAACCGCTATATAATATTCCGGAATATTTATTGATTCAAATGCAACCATATTTTTTTCTTCATTCATAATTAATTTAAATGTTGCATCTTGTTTAAATAAAGTTAATTGATTATTTTTTGCTAATGTAACTCGTCCATCGACATGCCGTAAATATATATTATTTTCTGAATATGATGAAAATGATATAAATAT